TCATTAAAAAAATTATTTATTTTTAAATTGTGACAAAATGGTGTTAGATAGGAGAAAGTTGCAAGAGACATTTTTTCTTGGAAATAAACCAAGTAAATAAAAAAACTACGAAATTTATATTTTTATCAGTGGCGTACTATTTTTTTTTTTGAAAAAATTACCCGATGCGTATCACATCTACGCCACTGGTTGAAACTAAAACCTCTTCTTTTTAAATTTAAAGTGTCTCTGTTAGGTAGACTCCTGTAATGAAATTTTATAACGATACCTTCAACTGTTAAAAAAACTATTAAAGAATATATCTTTAATTTTTCTAAAACTTTAACACCCTGTAGCATTTCCGACCCATAGTGTGCTATATCAAAATTAATATTTCGACGTCCCCTATAATTCCCTGAAAGCATGACCGACTTACAGGAATCACCCTGTATAGCACTAAATTTAGCATATATTTTGAAATTTATTTTCTTAACGAATAATTGGATAGAAAAATAATTCTATATCTTCTTGAATTCTATTCAAGAAGACTTAAAGTTGCTCTAAATTACAGTTGTTCAGTTTTTACTTAACAAAGATGCAGTTCTTCTTACAGCAGTAAAGAGTACCTATATAAATAATTAAATTAATTACCTTGTTACAAAGACCTTGTTCTAGTAGGGTATGTAAAATCCGTACTTCTGAACTATCCTTAGCCACTATCATTTTACCTGTTCTTTTATACTTAATATCCTTCTTATCACAGTATTCTTTCAATAGGCTAAGTCCCTCGATACAAAAACTAGCTTTTAAACTGCTGGATTTATAGTAAACGCCACAGTGCATTACCCCACTATTATGTGAGGTCTGGTGTTGTCCAAGAGAACCTTCTTTATCTACCAAACACACTTTTAACTCTTTTTGCCTATTTTTCAACTCCCTTGCTATTGAAGTGCCAATGATTCCTCCTCCTATTACAGCTACGTCATATTTATTATTTCTTTTAAAATATGAATTAAATATATAACGGGTGATTTAAAATACTTTACTGTTTCTTACTCTTTGTTTACATAACTGGTACTCGAGCATAAACCTTTATTCAGAGAAAAATATTTACTAATTTTAATATTAAACTTCTTGCTTAACATACTTTGTTTGGTGAAGTTTTTGAAAGTGACATAAATTGACATTTTTTTGAAGGACAAATTCAAAAAATAATTTTACTTATTTATTTCACCCCTCCTTGCATAGATAAATGCAACAAGAGTTTAGATTTGAAAGCCCGTAAAAATTTTAGGTCGCGAAATTATTTTGGGTCGCGACTAAGTTTAGATTGGAAAGTGCCCATAAGGACAATGTAAACACTATTTGGCGCTATTCTTGTAACGGTCGCGACCCAAAACTTTTGAAAATTTCGGAGCGGTTCGGCTTTTTCCGGAATTATATCGTCAAATATTGTTTATTCAAATTTATTATTATTTTCGTTTAATTCTATAAATAAAATACAGTGTGTTGCATACAAGAAACTCTATTTTACATAAGGCCGCATGTATGAAATACCTATGAAACATTGGAAACCGACGTTATGCCATGATCCACGATGGTTTTTGCAGTTCGCAGTTCACAGCACAGCTTTTTAAGTTTTTAATGCCACTTTTTCACAATTATTACCAGTTGGAGTAAATAAAACTTGAATTAAACTCACAAGATAGCAATAATTACTTTGAAAATGGACGCTATAAACACTTTTCGGAATTTCTTTAATGAGAGCGGTTTAGATTTTGAAAGATTATTATGATTTTTGAAGATTCTGACTTTGACAAGAGAAATTATTTCTGTTTTTTGTTTGCCGTTGTTATAGCAGCGCCAGATCGCGTAATGGTCGCGACCTAAAATTTTTACGGGCTTTCCAATCTAAACTTGTTGCATTTATCTATGCGTTATACGCTTTGAATAAGAAGACTAAGGAAGGAGCATAATGCTATCCATGTATTCATGCATGGTGGGCGGAAAAAGCGCCATAAAAGCACTCTAGGGTGGGGATCCTTGACAGTTCTGTTTGACGATTCATCTGACACATTTGAATTTGATTTGAAATTTTGTGGATTTGTCAGTCTTTATGGAGCTAATTTTATGTTATTTATTATTTATTCTACTATTGATAGTTGTATAAAGGTAGTAAATCTAGATGGAAATTGTGGCAGAACTTAAATTAACAGTGACACTATCGCGATTTATCGAAAAATATTCTAAAATAGTTGGTTGTATAGCGTGCGGTAGATCTCGGCAAAAATTGAGTGAAATAATGGAACAACTTTTCGCTAGTAAGTGACTATATAATATACATACGTGTATATAGTAAACCGATCATTTATGAAATTCACTTAAATTAACTAAATTATATATTTTTCTTGCATTTTAGCTTTTATTTATTACTTGTCAAAGATTAGATGTCAAAGAAGTTAGATACGTTAATTTGACTTACCTGCTTCAGTAATGTATCGGATGTTTGTGTTAATAAATACTTATTATAACTTATCTATTTTTATTAGAATTATATATTTTTCTAACAATTTTAATAACTACCAACATTTATTCACAACGTAACATAAAACAATTTGTTGAGTCTACCCCACGTCTACCCTACATCATAGTTTTACATTTTTTAAATAAAATTAGAACGACACTGATAAACCGGAATTTAAGTCGGCCATATTTGAGGCCCATCGCGGTGTACCTAAGATTTTTGATATGCTCCTTCCTTAGTCTTCTATTCAAAGGTTATACGCGATCTGCTATAGCCATAGATAAAAGAAAATAATCTACTATTAAGATAGATATGAAACTTAATAGTAAAATTTTGGGTTAAAGCGCCCCTCCGTCGTGTTTTTAGTGGAGACTACGTTTAACCCAGCGCTTTCGCCTTTTCTGCTGTAAATGTTTTTTATGTTTATATTTGAATTCAAAGGATTTATTTTTAAAGTTACACTGATATATTAGTATATCAGAGTAACTTTAATAAAACATAAGAATATATATATTTTACAATTTATTTTTTTATTTATTTTACAGAGTTTCATGTAAATGATCGTAAGTCGACTGGCTGTCTAATGAACAGACCGAGATTTATAGATTTTAAAGCGAACGAAAAAAAAATCAAACAACGAATACATACCATATATTTTCTTTTATCTAAGATACATACCTTATCGTCTTTTGGAAACACGTACATTTTTGCAGTTTTGTTAGTTTCTTTGCAAGATGCAACACAACAAGAAAACACCATTTTTACAGTTAATAAATAATAAAACTATTTCTGACTATGATATTTAAAATTTAGATAGATAGAAAATTAAAAAACAAACCAGTATTTGCAAACGCAGGCCCAAATTCAATAAAAATCAAAATTTTTCCTGCGAAAATCAGGCTTTTTTCACTGAAAAGGTATTTTTTGATTTATCAGCAGTCATTGTCAAGTTGACAATATACAGGGTGTTTTCGAATTAGTCTAAAAAAATTATGGTGTGATTCCTCATGTGTTCTTAAAACAATTTTTATATAACCATTAGGTCTCAAGTACTTCCTTTCAGATCTACGGGGTGTTAAAATTAAAAAAAATCGATTTTTTTGCTTAACATAAATGGTGTACACCACTGCTTTTTTAAAGAAAAAATATTTTTTTCTTGACTGGCCATCCTTTTTCAACAAAATTGATCTTTTGAGTTTTTCTTGTTCATCAAACGGTTGTCGAGAAAAAAATAAATATACTTATTAAGAGCCCGCCTTAATTCGTTTTCTAACGATTTTATATTTTTTAGATTAATTAGGAAACACCCTGTATATGCATATCACAGGCAACCAAATAAACTAGTAACCTCTAAAAATTATTTTTCCTACCGCTAGCGACATACCGTGTTTTTAGTGTGTACTAAATTATTTTATCAAAATTTCACCATATAAGTTTCCAGGCAATGACTGACATATATGTCATAATATTTGAATTTTAAATATGTATGTAATATAATTCAAATTAATATAATGCAACTTTATACTAAGAAATCATTTATACACTCACAAAATACAACAAAGTCTAATAATATAGTTTGAAAACAATGAATATTGAAATAAAATTAAAAAAGTTAAGCGCGACCCCTTGTGTCAAAATTAGATGATTAAATTTTCGCAATTTTTACACCATTTGATGACTGGTGGCGCCTCTAGTGTTTGTTCAAGCGGTTGGTCTTTTACTCCCACTTGTGGCCACTAAAGAAAAAGTTCTAAAGGGGGATGTTTTGTGATTCGTTTTCGGGCCTTTCAAAGTAACTTTATATCAAAAATTCAAATTTTTACCAAAACTTCGTATTTGGACTAAAGTGTAAATGAAAATAAAACGGCTATGTGATAAATATTAAAATATTTATTTTGAAGTTGGTGGTACAAATATTAGTAATTTTAGAGGCGACATTTGCATTGAAAATTCATTCATATATTTATACAAAGGATATCTTAGTACATCCATTAATCTTTATTCAAAGATCCATTATGAAGAATATATGCAATATAACTAACGTTTACATATATGTTGTAATATATACTTATAGATTATTAAAAATTGGCTTATGATTACTAATATCCCGCAGCATGAAAAAATACTCGTTCTTGAGACAAAAATTTTCAAAAATACCACTTATGCCGAAATTTTCTCTACAAAGTCTCAGATATACCAATATTAGTAAATAAGATATTTACAAAATGTCATTATTGAGTGTAACTTCGATTATATCACATAAAAGTTTTGAGTAAACATTTTGGTGCATGATAAAAAAAATATAAAACTTAAGTAACTTTCTTTGTTAATCGATGTTACAGTCAAAATTTAAAAACTTTTAATATTAATCAGTTACTTGATTCGATCAGTACTTTTGGAAGAAAAATCTGCCACTTGAATTGATTTTTTTTGCAATCAAAACTCACAATTGATATACAAATAATAAATAAATACTTATAAACTAAACTCGTTTGTACAATGAAGTTTTATTAACTATAATATCACAAAAAATAAATACCACAAATTATAAATGCATTTCGCACCATTTATCTCACTGTTTTATTATAAAATATATCAACAAAAAATATTTCCCTATGCAAATATTACGACTTATTGATATATTTTAGTTAGTCCAATATATTTGCCCTAGTGAAAAGATAAGAATGCTTTGATAAATTATCTTCCATCTAACTATTTAGATCTAGGAAATAAATTAAGTATCAATCTCCGTGCTTCCGGCGCATTCGCCAGATTTAGAAAAATATAACACAACCAGAATTAGGAATTAAATCAACATTAAGAAATCGAACAGATAAAAACGAATTAAATTACTAGCTAAATAACCAAATATTATCTTTCTGTGAGAGCAAATCCGTGTCTGTAAATTACGAGGTCCTTGTGTCGAAAATCAAAATAAGCTGTAAAGTGGAATGCCATATTTGTCAAAACCACTACATATTCTGATGCAGCAAACATAGAGTACACTAAAAAAACAATTTTGACATTATTTAATTATAGCACAATTATTTTACTTACCGTATGGTTCGCATGAAGAATTATGTCTCATAAAGAAATATCCCGCAATAAATATAAATAAAAGATTTGTTCCCAAACATCGCTTCTTCCACTTCAAACTGTGTCTTTGAATCCTTTTATACTTTCTCTGTAAAATGCATATTAAAAACATGTACATCTCTGATACCAGAATAAACGTGATGAAGGCTTTTTCATGTATAGCTAAAAAAAGCTGCGCATTAGTCGAAACAAAGTATAACTGTTTGAAATTTTACCATAAAATTTTGACGATGTAAAAAATGATAATGTAACAAGCGATAGGTTTTCAACAATATTCAGCAAACAAGCTACATATCCCATCCACATGTTATTTCTGTTTAATACATTTTGATGATGGTTTAGGTATTCCATTGCAACATAAATTCTTGGAAGAGCTTGTAAAGATATGGCAGTCTGCCAGATTTCTCTTTGAGGTGAGAAGTTTCCTATAGCAGCAGATATAGATGGCAAAACATTATATACTTGGCAGTGAGTGTAAGTCGCACTTTCATAGTTATAGATTACGGAATAGACTATACAAAACACAAAAGCTAATAAGGGAAGACACATCACACCGACAACGAATTTTTCGAAAGACATTCGGATACAAGGATACTCATATTCGCTGTATAATAATCCATATCTTGACTTACTAGAGGACATTTTTTCACACAATATCCGAACGAAACAATTTCAATCATCAAAACATCTTGAAAAATTACTTCTTTTAGGTTATGTTACGAGAAAACGTCAAAACGATAACAAAGCTTTTGGCAGGAACACGCCTGCTGCTGCCTCCTGCCGAGCGATAATTGAGGGTTGCCGATGTATCAAGTGTTGTCGAGCTCCCTGATAAAAATAATATAATTATTAATGTATAAAATATCCTGTGATATCTTAATCATCCTTAAATAAATACATAATATAGGACAGATATTATACATGTATAACTGTTTTGATAAATTATACGAGTATGGAGGGCTTGTACCAGTATAACCATGTATTACTAATATCCTTCTAATATGTAGTGGTAAAGCGGTAATACCTTTATTAAAAGAAGTTTTTAATGCCAATAAAGCAAAATAATTCAGGTCAAATTTTTAACTAGATATTTTTTTTACTAACATATTGTAATTAGTTTAGAAAATTCATATAGAGTTCATTCATATTTTATTTGAGTTTTTAATCAATTTTTCTAAATATTTGTGTAGGTACTCAAATATATTTTTTGAATTAAAAAGCTGGTTTCCATTGAAGTTAATGAATTTAAAGGGCTATTTCGATCATAAAATATTTTAATGGGACATTATATATTTCTTGACATTTGGTGAATGTTTTTTTTAATAATAATTTTCTTTATAGCGAAATGTATTCATCGTTAGTTCTATTTCTTTAATTACAAATCTTTATTTACAATTAAGGTAACTTTGCCCTGCTTTTATTTCGATTTTGGCATATACAGGGTGTTTCAAAACAAATGCGAAAAACTTCAGGGGGTGATTCCTTGTTCAAAATAAAGGGTAGTTTGCTTTATAAACGTTGGGTCAAAAGTCAACCATTAGGGAGATTTCGCGGTACAAAGATGGCGGAAAAATAATGTTTTTATTTTTTATCTTGAAAACGAAAAGAGATAGACTAATGAAATTTTACGGCAGCATTACTGTTATGAAAACACACTTTCTGGTAATTTTTTTACTTTTTTAAAATGAGTGGAAGGGGTTGAAATAAACTACCCCTATCATTCTTGTTAATGAAATTTAAAGAAAAATCTTATCAAACTTGAAGTTTTTCGCATTTGTTTTGAAACACCCTCTATATCAAAATTAGTAAAATGACAAAAAAAATTAAATAAAAATAATTGGCTTTGCAATTATGAATACATTAGTGTAAATTTACCAGTTTAAAGCAGGTCTATGATTCCAAATACAATGAAAAAAATAATTTTAAATATATGATTGTATCTAGCTCATATGCTAAATTAAGCATGAAGTTTGTCAAAATAAAATAAAATGTTGGAAGCTATTTCTGTTAGTTTAAGTTTGAATTCAACATATTACAATAATTATGAAGTACCTATTTGACTTATTAGTGATACTTTTGATTTATATAGGCTATAGTACAGCTTGCGTAAGTATTTTTATAATAATATAATAATTTTAATTTTTATTAATATGGTTTTTCTGGTATTTGAATAGAACGGATGGTCTGCAAAAATAGTAAGTTACAAAAATTGTGTCGACAATGGAATTATAACGTTGCCAACAAAAGGTTTGAAGGTTGTATTGGATAAGGACTGTAACATATATGTTGACGGTTGTCTGGAAATTACAAAAAGCTACAAATCTGCTAAGGTAACTTTGATCTGAAAACGACAAATAATTACAATATTTTTTTTTGCTATACAGGGTTCGGCAATAGTGTGTCGGGCATGTGTAGCTCTTATAATAAACAACCTAGAAAGTTTTTATAAGTGCAAATCTAAAGTATGTGTTAGGATGTATTTCAAGAAAATAGTTTAACTTCTACAGGGTGGCTCAAAAATGTGTAGGTGGATCCGGATGACTTTTTTATTTACATCAACAAAATTCATGACAACTTTATCTTAATAGGAAAGCAGACCACACACAAGGAACATGTTGTGCAACAAGCTGGTGAGTTGTCAACAAGTTTCTTAGTGTGTCTTGGTTGGTCAATATGCTCCCTAGTAAGCGCAGTAAGCGATTTGCTTTATTGATTTAGATCTACAGGGTGTGCTATTTTCAAGTGTTTTAGATGGTTTCTTGTTTATGAGCATAGATACAAAGATGCGGCTTTCACATCACTGCTACCTGCTACTTTATATACCTAATATGAAATATATTTCTGATCCGGTTCTTATCTCTAGTCATCTTACAACTTATCGAAAAGGTGAAAACTGAGTCCTGTAGAATTTTTCAGGTAGAATCCAGTGGCGTAACTAGTTTATCCCTGCGAGTTGTCATTTTCGAAATATGAGCCAAATCCATGTTTTTTTTTAAATGGGACACCCTGCGTATATTAGTTTTTTATCTGATTTGCCTTGGTTATGGGCTCTCTAAAAATATAATATACTTCTATTATTATCTATACTAATATATAAAATCCTTAAGTGACTGACATACTGATTAATCACGATCCTGCTCAAACCACTCAACGTAAGAAGCTCAATTTTGGCATACAGGGTGATTCTAGGGTGTAGAGGTTCGATAAGAAGGGATTTTTTGAAATTCCAGTTCCAAGAGGGTGAAACCACCCCTCAAATATTACAATATTTTTTATTTTAAAAACGGCCAAGTTTCCGAAAAAACGCTTAAACACGTATATTTTATTTTGTTTTTTACATATTTTAAGATTTTTTAAAAATGTATACAGGGTGTTTCGAAAAATCTGGTCATTGAATAATCACGATTGTGCTTAAAGCGCTTGACGTAAAAAGCTGATTTTTGGAAAATAGATTGACTTTAGGGTGTAGAGGTTCGATAAGAAGGGATTTTTCGAAACTGGAATTCTAAGGGGGTGAACATTTTTTATTTAAAAACCGGTGAGTTTATTGGAAAACTCTTAAACACGTATATTTTATTTTGTTGTTTTACATATTTTAAGATTTTTTATAAATTTATACAGGGTGTTTCATAAAATATGACCATGGAGTAATCACGATTCTGCTTAAACTGCTTGACGTTTAAAGCTGATTTTTTGATAAACGGATTTACTGTGGGGTGTAGAGGTTCGATAAGGAGGGGTTTCTCGAATCTCAAATTCCAAGAAGGTGAAAACGCCCCTCAAATATTACAATATTTGTTATTTAAAAAACGGTTAGTCTTTCGGTAAAACGCTTGGACAAGCATAATTTATTTGTTTTTTTTACATATTTAGAAATTTTTTACAAAATCATACAGGGTGTTCCAAAAAGTTGGGTCATTTCTTAACCACGATTCTGCTTAAACTGCTTGACGTGAAAAGCTTATTTTTGGCAAACGGATTTTTCGAAAGTCAAATTCCAACGAGATGAAACTACCCCTCAAATATTACCAAGTTATATAATAATATCGCCATATTCTTTTTTCTCATGCTGACATAAATGTGAGAAAATTTGATCCAGTTTGTATGTTAATGGAAATTCTTGCTTTGCTTTATCATCACCATTATATATGATTAATTCGACGCCACGCTAGTAGTTCATAATAGAGTATTATTATTTTATGTAATACAATTTAACCAAATAATTTTACTTTCCATTCTCTTACCTTAATAAACTGCATTGAAAATGAACTTCTGCAGCGTTTAGAAGCTAAATAATGCATTTTTACATTGTTTATGAAAATAAAAATACAATACCTATATTACATTTTTACAAAGTTCACAAAAAGGCAAATAGAACAAAAAAATAATACCTATATAGAAGATTCCATTTAGAAAAATATAAATTTGGGTAATATATTTCAAGAATGACAGCTCCCAGAGAAAATTACGGTGCACAGTTTTCTCCTTTTGGATGAGTTTTATAGATAACCGAGATAAAACGGGGGTCGAAAAATACAAAATTTTCGAATTTGCACTGTATTTCAGGAAGTAACGGGGTTAGAACAAATCTGTATGTAGTTTTTTTAGTTTCGTGAGAAATTAGCACAGTGATGTGAAAGCCACATTTTTGTATCTCTACTAATAAACGAGAAACTCTGTAAAAACACGAAACTGGGACAATCTGTACATAAACGAATATAGTAATAAATGAATTTTATATAATAAAAACAATTTTAGGGTTCATATCATATTAAAAAGCCTCCATTGCCCATGATAGATGGTGATATGGATTTCTGCGAATTAGATAAGCAAATAAAGAGTATGCCAGATGCCCAAAAAGCAATTGACATGTTTGGATTGCCAGTCACATGTCCCGTTAATGCGGTATGTATTTTTTTGTTGTAAATTTGTGTGCGACATAGAAATATAAAAAAGACGTTTTAGATTGTTCAGACTTGAACTGTTGTTGAGTGTAGATATTATCCTTGTATATAAACAAGGATATTATAAAGTATCCTTAAACTATACAGGGTGCTACAAATTCGAGGTACGAGCATTGATATCTCGGTAACCCTAATAGATACGAACATGATTAAATTAGGGCAAACTTGCGCACCAAGAAATGCCATCAAATTTTTTTTAAAAATTTCAAGTATTGCTGAGTTTTTTGGAAAAAACTGATTTTTTTGAAAATTTATTTAAAACCAATATCAAATCCGGCTCTATTTTATTTTTAATATTAAATCTATTCAACGTTACAATATTGATAAGTGTTCAAACTTAAAAGAATAAAACTTAACTAAAAAACTTAAGAATGACGTGGGGTAAAACATTGAATACGGAAGATCAAATGCAATAAAATAATTAAAAATAATATAAATATAATACAGGGTGTCCCAGACATAAATGCAAGTATTTTAACTGGTAGTATAGTTCGACCCCAGAAACACGCCTAAGAGGTTTTTTTCACGAATTTTTTTTTAAATTCACAATAGGGAGGGTGGTAACCCTTTCGAACAATATGGAGCATTAGAAACTAGTTTGTAGAAGTTGATTTATTTATAATAACTATGATTAATATTATGCTCAGATTCAAATTCCACAATAAAAAAGTTAAAAATAATATCTTTAAATTGCTGACCTGGATATTATTTATTTGAATCTTTCAATTGGCTCGATTTCCTTATTGAATATTAGTTAGCGCTGATCAATATTGTTGCAATAAATATAATCAGATTAAATAAATATTAAAAAAAACAGAGTCGGGCTTGAATTTATTTGAAATAATAATTAAATAGTTTTGTTGTTGTTAAAGTACCCAAAACAAAAAAAAGTATAAAGCGTGGCATATCATTGTACTCAGGAGACCAATTTCTTTCAAAACCTGAAATAAAAATGCAGGTCCGTATTTAAAAAAAATAAGTTGGTCTCTCTATCTCACAAATTATCAGGTAATTTGAAAATTTAAAAATACCGTCAGATAGCCCTAATAAAGTGACTACAAGAATATACAATTAGTTTTTTGATTTTTTAAAAAGTAACGACAGGAAAAAATAAAATAGATTTTCAAAAAAATCCGTTTTTTTTTTTCAAAAAACTTAGCAATCCTTGAAATTTTTAAATCTTGGTGAAACATCCCAAGGCGCAACTATGGCCCAATTTAACCATCTTTGTATCTATTACGGTTTCCGAGATACCAATGCTTTTACCTCGAATTTGTAGCACCTTGTATATTACAATTATTATACAGGGTGGTCCGAATTGTATTCCCGAAACTTCGGCGGCATATTCTCAATATAAAAATAACCAAAAAAGTTCGTATAAATGTATGTCCTACAATGCTTAGTTTCAGAGATATAGGGTGTAGATCATGGTACAAAGAAAACAAGGTATGATCGATAGCGGCTCCAATTTCGTTAAGTTTGCGCATACCACCTGTGACGTCATACGCCATACAAAAATATATCCATATTGTTCAATTGCCACTAATAAAAACAGACATAAAATAGGGAAGAATTAGGACATAACCCTAAAAGTTATGTTTTGACATCGAGCTTGACATTTGAAAAATTATTTTCACATTTTGACACAATCAAATTTCACAGATGACACAATCTGTTTAACAATTTGAAATTGGCGCGCAGAGCTTGTAGACCAATAGTGCCGTTTATCACCTGTGACGTAGTGACCAACCTGCGCAATATCATACCTTGTATTCTTTGTATCATGGGTGTAGATTGTGTAGAAGTTTAATTTTTATTTCGATTTTTTCCAAATAATTTCTGAAGTAACGTCAATATGTATTTGGATGAAAATTGGTGTCTGGAAGTTTTTTGACATGAGAAATTTGATTTTGATGTCAATATGACTCCTAATAGTAGGGGTTGACATATTATACTGTTTTGAAGAAGAGTAATAACTTTTCGTCCGTACCTGTATAAAACTGCTGAGTGCAAAAATATACATTTCCGTGACTTTTCACGCAAAAAATATTTCATGGTAAAAATTGTTACGAGCAACCGTCCTCAAGATATTTAGAATGGAAATAGTCAATACATGTCATTATTGACATAACATAAACTCGTTGAGTAGATAGTTATTTGACTGAAATAATAAATTTGGGAAATTTTTATTTTTTTTAAATTAATCATAAATTTTTTTGCAAAAAAATGACGATACAACAGTTTCTGTTGAACTTTTGACACAAAAACATTTCAAATTTATGATTTCAGTCTAATAACTATTTAGTCAACATGTTTAATTTATGTCAATTATGACAGGTATTGATAATTTCGATTCCAAATATCTCGAGAGTCATTACTCGTAGCGATTTTTACCAAGAGATTACTTTTAGCTAAAAAACGTCGCAAATGTATATTTTCTTAATTAGTAGTTTTATACAGGTATGGACGAAAAGTTATTACTCTTCAAACCAGTTAAAAATATACAGGTGGCGCCCTCTATAAGTAGGAGTCATATTGACATCAAAATCAAATTTCTTATGCCAAAAAAGACCCCCCTATCCTAGACAGTTTTTATCAAAATATTGACTTTACTTCGGAAATGATTTGGAAAAAATTATTGAAATAAAAATGAAATTGCTACACCCTGTATCTCCGAAACTAAGCATTTTAAGACATACATTTATACGAACTTTTTTACTTTTTTTATATGGAGAATATGTTGCCGAAGTTTCCAGAAAACAGTTCGGACAGTTGAGTATATCAAGCAGATTTTAAACTATGCAAATATTAGCTCCCCTATTAATTTTACAGCTCAGTTGTAAATTGTTTTTTTAAATGTCTGCCTATGCTGAATACACGTGCCATTTTTTGGATAAGCCACGTGCCAATGTTGGATAACCCAATTTTGAGTAATTCAAGAAAAATTGTTTTAAATTACCTATTGTCATTGTCAAGTGTAATTTAATGTGCTGTCTACAGTACTATGTGACTATGTACCGGGTGGCCGACTAAGAATGGACGCCGGCTGTATCTCAGAAACTACATATCGGATAACTTTGGGAAAAAAATTATAATAAGTAAATCGACCAAAAGAAATCGCTGGAAATTCTTTTCAAGTTTGAAAAATGTCCGCTAGGGGGCGTTTCTCTGATAGCCAATTAGAAAACAGGGTTTTTCTCAAAAATATGCAGGTGAACAGGTATTTTAAGTATGACTATTGTAATGATCGAGAAATTTGTAATTTTTTTGATATGAGTATTTTGCTCTATCTCATAAAATAAAGTGGTGGGGGAAGGTTAAACTTGCTTTTATTAAAATAAGGATAACTCTGGTTTGGGTTAACCGATTTAAACAAACTAGGGCTCGTTTATAAGAGATTTTCTTCCTTAATGATCTCCAGTATAAATTTTGTTTCCATATTTATTTTCGTGGTAGCTAGAGGGCGCTGTTTGACATTATAACAGATTTTGCGCTTTTACATAAAAAATTTAAATAGGAGGCTATATTTCTGTTTGCACAGTTAAATAGAGTACAAGATTTCCAAAAAATCAGCGCAAACCGCAACTTTCTATCTTCTCTCTAACGGGAGATATTAAGAAAATAAATCATATTAGGCTGTCGCCTAGGATTATACGGTCTAAAAATTAGAGTAGTAGGCTAGGAAACAAAAAGCGGTAAATTAGTTTACGTCAAAATATCAAAACATACATTTTAGTTTCATTTTAATATCATTTAATTGTTATTTATCCATTTTCGTTCTTGATTCGACACCAGAAATTAAAACCCAGGCATATTGAATCCAATTACCTAGCTGGCCATGGAAAATATGCCACACCAGCGACTCTATCTACTAGAGTAAATGATGTCCAAGAAGCCCCACACATTCATAGCAAAATAAGTGGCACAACTGCACCAACTGCATCAACTACACCAACTACACTCATACTGATCATGATGGGATCCCCTAACAAAATTGGCAATTCGTCTCTTAGAAATTATGGATAGTTTATTATTTCATTTAGATAATTAAAAAAGTCCAATCATTCGCCATCCTAATATTCCTGCCTAAACATTTACCGACAAACGGTCTTGGTGCTGAACTACCTGCATCAAGGGTAGACTTGGACCAGTAGTGCATATTGAAAAGCGACCCAAACTACATAAACTTTAATATGATAATAAATAACACAAAAAAACAGGTAAAACACGAAAACAAATGAAATCAAGGACGAACTTGGATAAATAACTAAATGACGTTACATGAAATAAACCCCTGGTTTTCGGCCATACGAAATTCGGCCGTTTTCTGTCAAAACCAATATGGCGGCACAAAATTTCTAGAAATTAAAATAAAAAAAATAAAAATATTGATTGTCCGACTTTTGGACATTTTAATCTGAGAACTAGCTACGTATAATTAACCAACAAATTCGTAAAAATTGTATTGATGGACGATAATGTTACATAAACACGTTTAAAAACTTATGACGTCATTTTTTTTAAGAAAACGCCCTAAGTTCGGATGCATGAAAACTGAACTTAATCGTTTCGATATTTTGACGTAATCAAATTACCTGTTTTTGTTTCCTCGCTTACTACTATAATTTTTAGACCATATATAATCCTAAACGGCAGCCTAAGATGATTTGTTCCCTTAATATCTCCGGTTAGAGAGAAGATAGAAAGTTGCGGTTTGCGCTGATTTTTTGGCAATTTTGTGCTCTATTTAACTATGTAAAGAGAAATATAGCCTCCTATTTATTTTTTTTTCTGCAAAAGCGCAATATCTGTTATGGTGTCAAACAGCGCCCTCTAGCTACCACGAAAAAAAATATGGAAACAAAATTTATACTGGAGATGATTAAGGAAGAAAAGCTCTTTTAAACGAGCCCTAGTCTGTTTAAATCGGTTAACCTAAACCAGAGTTATCCTTATTTTAATAAAATCAAGTTTAATCTTCCCCCACCACTTTATTTTATGAGATAGAGCAAAATGGTCTATATAAAAAAAAATACAAATTTCTCGGCGATTACAATAGTAATATTTAAAATACCTGTTTACCTGCATATTTTTGAGAAAAAGTCTGTTTTCTGATTGGCTATCAGAGAAACGCCCTCTAGCGGATATTTTTCGAACTCGAAAATAATTTCCAGCGATTTCTCTTGGTCAATTTACTTATTAGAATTTTTTCCCTAAAGTTATACCACGGCATATAAATCACACGGCAGGCTAACTCTGCCCAGATCCCATTGTTTAAAATTTGACCTTCAAAACACCATTATGGGTGCCGAGTCAGGGCCGGATTAAAATGTATCAAAAAATTTCCCAGAAAATAAACTATTGCTAGACAGGGTCGTATTAAAAAAATACTGTAATTGACTGAAACTGAATTTTATTTACACAATACTTTTATCTAAACAAATGAATCGTCAACCGCGCATACTCCTCAAAAAGTATGTCACACAATAAACAAAAATAAAACTAAAAAAAAACAAAATATATCACTGAAGAAAAGAATAAAATAAATTAAGCCGCACGCTACTGACTCAAAGCTGCCGTAACTGTACGTTGTCGATGACAAAGACTACGACTGACTGCGACACTGGTTAATTTCTGTCGCTGGCACCCATAATGGCGGCGTGCGCAAGGGTATGCGCGTAGCGTTCCCGCCAAAGCGAGTTGGCCTGCCGTGTGATTTATATGCCGTGGTTATACGATAAGTAGTTTCCGAGATACAGTTGGCAGCGGCGTCCATTCTTAGTTGGCCACCCGGTACAGTACTGTAACTATAATACGCTAGTGTCCCCGAAATATAGTTTTGTAATTATTTAAAACTGTTTCGGATGAGGCAAAAGCCAAAGTTTAGAAAATACATACATTGACAAAATTATAGGATGACAACTTAAGGTACGTTCGCATTTGCCTGGTTTTGCATTATTGTTACCTGTTCAGTTTTAATTTTAAAATAGATGCAGTTTATCTTAAATTACTTAAAATCGGCTTGTCCAAAATTGTTCAGATTTGGCATTATTTCTTTATTTATCTATTATTTTGGTATTCAACATCGGCAGACCATTAAAAAAAAAACTAATTACGACTTAGCTGTTAAATTATTATGGGAACCAATATTTGGACAGTTCAAAATTTGCTTGGAATTTGCTATATTTCCAGCGACGATCACCACCCGGTAGACTTTGGTAATACAAAGTAAGTATTCTCTCCGTCAAAGACACATTTCAAAATAATAAGTTTTTAGGGCAAGATTTGTGCTGGTGCAGAAAAGAAATTTAGTATCACCAAGTACAAGAATCAACTTGGCATGGCCGCTGGCACATCAACAATTAAAGTAGAAGTTGAGCACGATGTTGGAAAGAGCTGCTATGAGTTGGAGTTCAATTTAAGTAAAGTTAAGAAAGGGTAAATTAATTCTAAATAATTTTTCTATTCCAATATACTATTTTTTTATTTGTATCAAAATCAATAAAATGTACCTACTTTTAAAAGACATTTTTATTTTGATTATCAATCGTTACATATAATTCGTACACTTTAATGCCTAATTGTATTTACATCACAGTATTTTAACTTTAACGCTATGTACAAAACAATAATCTCATCATTAAGATAAAGTCTCACGTAATAAAACAGTTAAAATAGACTAGATTTTCAATCATATCGATATTATCTCGTCAATTTTATAAAAATAACGTTGCAAGATATTGTAATTAATAACCAGTCAATTATAATTATTACCCTTAAGAGTACCATACCCAAGCAGCATTTGGACGTAGGGACAACGTTGTGTCACGCGACCAAACGTCGGGCGCAACGTCGGCACAACCACTGGCCAAGTTTGGAGAATAATTTTTGGGTCGAAACGACGTTGGATACCTACGTTGGCTAGCAGCCTAATTTAGCACAAACTGGAACGTTGTTTAAAATCCTAATTCACAGAAATACAAAACTATAATAATATGGCGTCTAAGTCGCGTTTTATCCTAAATTGGGATAATTATAGTAAAAATATTATTTTTATGATTTAGTTAGAGACATATGCCAGATGGCAGTAAAGGAAAACAAAACAAAAGTATTTAAGTGTGGAGGATGTCTGAAGATGATAATTATTGAATCATTTTAACCAACTCTGTAACTCGTTACCGGAAAAGAGAATAATTTCGCAGTCGAAAAAAAATTGTTTCCGTGTGTTGTTTAGGGCCAAATATTTCAAGTTAATGTATTCAAAAAGCAGGAATTGCTATTTTAGGAACAAAACATTTTCTTATTCAACAACATGGCGGCTTTCACTTTGTTGTTTTGGAGATTAAGATGGAGTAGTTCGAGTAGTCGCATACTGGACTAATAAAGTCGCAGTTCAGCCCTAACAGGTAGTATACTAGCCGCAAGATTGCCTAATTTAGTCATCCTAGAGTCTAGCTTGTGCCGCCCTCTATAATCTAAATAAACGAGGGAGTGGATGAAGTATCGGTAATATGTCGATGTATATTTAAATTTACTTTTATATGTACCTTTCTTTTGTCCCATTTTAATTAAGTTTTTTTTATAAAAACAAAAACAGCACTGAACTGTCTGACTGAACAGAACAATGAAGTGAAAATTAAAGGTTATGGTTCAATACAGTTGCAAAAAGGTAGTGGCTCGACGTCCTACCAACGTAAGAATAAGGAAATCTAAACACAACGTTGGAATTAGTAAAACAGACGACGTTTGCATAACGTTGGAATAGGTCCTGAAAGTGACGTCGGAAAACTCTTTATTGCCCAACATTGTAACTACGTTGTTCGAATCACCTAAAGATCACTTAAGCAAAAAAGGTTACAAGACAACGTTTATTCGACGTCGCAGAAGCTTTTACTTTGTTGTAGTACTAGTTCAACGTCGGCACAACGTTACAACAACGTTTATATTTATTTTAATACCTAAGGTACGGAGCTAACTATTTTTTGTAACTAATCCAACGTTGTGTTTGGTAAACATGTGGTCGCAAGTCTTGAAAGTGCTACTTGGGTAGTGTTCTCAAACTTATTCGATTATTGGCTAATTGATCTTATAAAAATATATATGGACATTTTAAAATACTCTTAATTTCTAACACAGCCACTTTTACGTAAAAAAGTATTGTCACTATGTTTCACTTTTCTTCGGTACTATTTGTCGATCTGTTTTCATCTGTAACTGCATTAATCGTATTTTCTTCTTTGGTCTGTACATCTATTTTATCATGCTCATTTGAACAAGAGATATTTTGTTGGTTTAAGTTACAAAAATTTATTTCGGGACATTCTGTCTTATTTACTGAATCACAGTGATCTGTATTTTTTGTATCGCTATTTTCTGTCAAGGACTTGTTTGTTTCTGTCGTACTTTCTTCCAATGTTTCATCTGATTGCGGGTTATCTGTTTTCGAGTCCTTTTCATTCGAGTTTCGAATTTCCTCTTCAACTTCTTCCTGTATATCCGGTTTTTCTAGAACTGATTCGATTTTAAACCCACCAGATGTCCCAATAGTGTTTATACTGTATGTTGAGCCTTGATACGAGTGCAGTTCATCGTCTATTATTCTCACAGCTTTCAATGTTGGCGTTGATCGTTCCGAGTATATAAACATTTCTTTCGAAGAAGATTTGAACATGTTTAAATCCTAAAACGAGTAAAAAACAAACGTTAATAAACCTACACGCTTGCTTCATCTATAAACAAGCTCAGTGTAAATCAAAGCCCAATCTACGGTTTCGTAACCGTAGATGGAGCTAATGAATGAAGCTAATAATGATGCAAAATGGGGTTGCAGTTAGAGACACCTTAAAATGTTGATGTATTTTAAAGTATTATACAGGGCGCGTCTCAAAAGTGGCTCCCTATAACATTTTTAATTTTTTCAGATAAAATAACGAGATTTGGTATGTTAGTATATGACATAAATGAGGATTGATTGACGTATTCAATTGTTTTCGGTCACTTCCACTTTCACCGGAAACGACTGCAACTTTTGATTTTTAAATGGCATCCTCGGTATTTTTTTACTTTATTCGATAGAAAGTGACACTTTGAATCGAATGCCATATCATATGTCAACTTTTGGCATTCTCGGTTAATAAAAAATCGTATTTTAAATTTCAATCTAGAGTGTCATGGGTATGTTAAAAACACTAGTTCTTAATCAAAGAGCCTTGGAAAAATAGATTTGATCGTCTAATGGTACTAGGTCTATCTTAGCCCACGGCCACACACAAAGCGTTATTTGCGTTTTTAGCGTGAAGCGTCTTTAGCGACTAAAACAAAATAACAGGATTATATAGGAGTGGCCACACCAAAAGCGTGTAGCGGTCGGCGTGTCTCGCAAAAAAAGCAAATGAAAACAAATCAGTTTGTTTTCATTTTCAAATTCAAAAATTTGAAGGAAATGTTTATGTTGAAAAAGTAATAAATTAAAGGAATATTTTCTTACGCGTAAAAAATAGTTTTTTCTATGCGTAAAAAGTGTTTTTTTCTGCGTAAAAAAAGTTTTTTTAACAGAAACAAATAGTTTTTGACGCGTAAAAAATAGTTTTTTTCGTGTAACAAATAATTTTTTTACACATGAAAAATTTTTTTTTGGGTAAAAGGTTTTTTTACTAGAAACAATAAGTTTTTAACGCGTAAAAAATAGTTTTCTACGTGTAACAAATAGTTTTTTACACGTAATTTTTTTTTTGTGTAAAAAAGTTTTTAACCTTATGACGCGTAAAAATTAGTTTTTTACGTGTAACAAATATTTTTTCACACGTAAAAAATATTTTTTTTTGCGTAAGAAAGGTTTTCTACCAGAAACAATAAGTTTCTGACGCGTAAAAAAATAGTTTTTACGTGTAACAAATAGATTTTTACACGTAACAAATAGTTTTATACGCGTAAAAAATAGTTTTCTACCAGTAACAAACCAGTTTTTTACGTGTAACAGTTTTATTCGTGTAAAATAATAAAAATAATTTTTACGTGTAACAAATGTTTTTTACACGTAATAATTTGATTCACTTTTACAAAATTTGTATTAAAACATCAATATTTTTGATAAACACGTGGACTGCTCACAAATACACGTCGCGTCACTACGTATTTCTAAGCCGTTAACACGTTTTGTTACAACGAGCTCGTGTGTCAAGGCCGTCTCACTAGCTCGTATGTCACGGCCTTGAATTTTTACTCCCAGCACGCGTAAAGAAGTTTTCCAAAATGTTTCATAAATCACGTCCTAAAATTGCATTAGCAACTAGAAATATTTACTATTCTATTATATAATTATAATTATTTATTATATTATATTATTATTATAACAAGTACTGACCACAAACAATACAACATAAAAATAAAACTATAAACATATAAACTAAAATTCGTAAAATAAATGGCAAATAATAATTATTATTATTTTTACACAAACCACTGGCACTAGCAGTAGATTGTGTTTGTCTCCGAATATATGCCCCGGCCCGTCCACAATTCAATCCCAGAATCTTCTATCTTCGTCACTTCAACGCTAACGGCGCCGATCTCGCCTATCTCTTTCTCACAGGATTGATTGTTGGACGGGCCGGGAATCCACGAGCTTGCGACGTTACTAATTGACATCTTGATAGAAACTGCAGACCTGCCGCGTCTTTTGCGTGTTTTTAATGGACACAAATCAAAAAAAGCGCTTAAAACGGTAAAATCGCAAAAAGCGCTCGAGACGCAAAAAAACGCAAAACGCTAAAAACGCTTTCTATGTGGCCGTGGGCTTAGGTACTTAAGTGTAATTTCTGAGTTTTTGTTTGTCAGATCGAAGGGTCCAACAAAATCGGCCTAATGATGGGATTAGATTCCCGCAATCGGTCTTTGGATGGTTGTTTATTCTGATAAACTGAATGCAAAAATTGGTACACTTGTAGGGGTTAAGGTCTTTTTACTTTTTTGTATATTATGATGCCTTTATATTATGCTTATTTTACTAATGAAACTACTTATAACTAACATTATTACTAATGAATTATTTTTATTTTCATTTGTATATACCTCGTAACTTGGACAGCAATGATTCAATTTGCACGTTTCTCCTTGACACGCGACCAAGCAAACAGGAGGAAGTTTGGTGTTTAGTTTTTCCAAACTAGCACTTTGTCGAAAGAACTCTGGTTGTATAGTCACTTGGGTTACTCCATTTTCGGCAAAGAATTCTTTAATTTCCTCCATTATATTTCTATAAACCTGCATATTATATTAATAATTATATTAAATATCTTTAATTAAAAAAACAGGAGTAAACAATCATTTTACCTTAGGATCTTCGAATATAATATGAATTGTCGAGATGATCTTAGAGGCTGTGAGTTGCCAAATATGAAAATCATGTACGTTGATTATATCAGGAAAATGATTTGTCAACTCTTTTTTCATTGTTTCGATATCAATTGTATCTGGCATCGTTTGGAGCAGAATTAAACAACTTTCTTTAACTAAAAGAAAAGAAAAATAAATTAATACAGGGGGAGCCAAGGCTACCGAAAAGTTCTATATTAGAATTTTTGGTTTGTAAATTTTATTTTAATTTTTTGTTACGTAAGCTTCATTCAGAACCTCGCAATTAGTGGAATAAATTAGTGAATTCAATTACACTTTATACTTTTTAGTTTACGATCATTAATTAAATTATTATTTATTATTATAATTAAAATTAATAGAATGTCCTAGCAACAGCTTGCTTTAGTCAGTTGTATCCATAGAGAAAACCTAATATTCACCTTATAAAACAACCAACTTTTGATTTCCAACCACAATTTCTCTTGACATTTCTCCAAAATTTTGAAGTATAATTAGTGGGAAAGTTTGATAACTTTTCCTACTAATTGAAAATGTGTTAAGGCAAATTCGAAATCTGAACTAGACAAGCGCACTTATAATGACAAGAAAAATGAGATGAGGAGAATGGTAAAAGAAGAAAAGAATAAAATGTGGGATGACAAATGCAAAGAAATTAATACGTATATAGGCGGAAGAAGGAATACGGAAATATGGAGATTTATAAAAACAACAACAACTGAAAAACAGGAGTCAACCCCTATAGAAATAATAACCAACAAAGAATGGGTGAAATATTATTCCAAATTGTTGTCAGAGAACAGACCTGAGTATCAAGAACCACCACAGCCAGAAATAAACATTGAAGGAGAGGAAATCTACGTGGATACCAAACAAAATAAAGACCGCTATAATGTCTTTAAAGAATGGAAGAGCATGTGGCCCAGAGAGAGTATATGCGGAACTCATAAAATCTGGAAGCAAAAAACTGTTTAGAATGTTAACAAACATAGTTAACCAGTGCTTAAATGGTCATCCAGTACCTGAACAGTGGAAAAAAGCATATATCTCCTCTATATATAAAAAGGGCTCAAGGAAGGATCCCAATAACTACAGGGGAATTTCGGTCACCAGCACTATGAGTCGCCTCTATGGAAGGATACTGAGGAACTTAATTGAAGAGGAATACTCCAGCTACGAAGAAGGAGAGCAGAATGGTTTCAGAAGCGGAAGATCATGTACAGATAATATCTTTGCATTGAAACAGATCATCGAGAAGAAATCTGCAATGAACCAGGAAGTTCATATAACATTCATCGATCTACAAAAAGCATATGATACAGTGCCAATAATAATATTATGGGAAGTATTGCACGAATCAAGAATTAACGCAGCTCTGATAAAAGCTGTACAAAATCTTTACCATGGAGGAAAATCACAAATAAAAGCGGCCAACGGTCTCTCAGAGGAAAAAAAAATCACTAAAAGGCTCCGACAGGGTTGCTGTATATCCCCAATACTATTTAAAATTTATATTGCCAAGGCCTTACATCTATGGAAAAGAAAATGTAACGGAATGGGTATAGAACTAAATGACATATGCCTATACACCTTGCAATTTGCAGACGACCAGGCCATAATTGCAAACGACAAAGATGACATGGAATATATGGTGCGGAAAATAATTGAAGAATATGCTAAATGGGGTCTCACAGTAAATACAGAAAAAACAAAATACCTTCCAATTTTAGCTAATACAGAAAATCTTATTTTAGACAATAATATGGGAATTAGGGCATGTGAAGATTACAGGTACCTGGGATCGATATTTACAGGAGATGGAACGGACGATAGAGAAATAAACAACAGAGTAATACAGGCACGATGAGTTATCAGATGCATAAATGGCATTCTATGGAGCACTGAAATTACAAAAAACAGGAAATATAATATATACGACACTAGTTAAAAGCATATTACTCTATGGATGTGAAACATGGCGACTCACTGAAAGGAATAAAAGGAAATTAGAGACAACAGCAATGGACGCGATTAGAAGAGCAATGATAATTTCACGGAGGGATAAGATCAGAAATGAAGACATTAGACAACAGATGGGAATAGAGGGAACAATAGTAAATGATATAGAACAAAAACAATTAATATGGTACGGCCTTAAAAAACCTACGAAAGAATTCCAAAACAAGTCATTCATTGGATACCACCTGGTAAACGAAAGAGAGGACGTCCCAAGAAAACATGGATGGAAGGAATAAGAAGGTCGATGAGCGAGAAAAATCTGACCGAAGATCAATGGGAAAATCGCACAGAGTGGAAGTTAGGCATCGGACAACGTCGTAGGACGTTCTGACCCGAATTTATATGTATGAAAATGTCTACCATTAATATTTCAATATCTCAAAAATCAAAGATTTTAAACATATTTAACCCTTATAATAAATACCTCTTTTTGGGCCCAAGAATCCAAAAATGAAATAAAATACCGGGTGTTCCATAAGAAAAAATATAACTTTGGTATGGATCTTACTTCTGAAATACCCTGTACATTTCAAAATAATTTTAAATTGTACACATTACCTCCCCACATATACCAATAAAATATTTTGTTTCTACATCTTCCCGTTTTCGTATAATCAACCGAGGCGAATGAGGAATTATATTATTAATTTAACTTACTATAAGGGTAGCTTAAAATCATGATGCAGGTAGCTGAGACTACGGATAGAATGGGATCCACGAATTTTGCCACGTAAGGATCAATGAAGAGTATAATAACTGAGCATGTCATCACTACTGCACACCCTGTAACATATAAAAGTATTTTTCATAAAGTTCAAGACTAATTTTGCTGTATTCTTCCTACCGATAACATCTCTGGTAGCCTCCCATAAACCTTGTCTCTTTTTCGGAGGCGATGAGAATATGTGTCTCGTTCTGGACAATCTTCTTGCACCTTTACGCACCGAATCGTTGACAACGACTTTATTTAAAACGACGTCTCCACTTTCGGTGACGTACAGAAAACTGCCTTGATGGAAAGTGTATCCTCCGATAAGAAGGTAGCAAATTCCGTTAAGGATAAGACCTGCAGCACCTGAAAAATATATTCAATTTTCGAATTAAAATGGTAGTCGAGTATATGAAAGTTGAAACCACGGCTAAATTCGTCGACTGGGACTTTTCATGTGGATGGGCCATATGGGAAAACGGGAAAATTCCCTGTGGGCCAGTGAAAAGATAGGCCGGTGGGCCGACCGGTCCCGATCAGAACTCAAAAAAAATTGGATTAGCAAAATTTAAATGGTTAATCTTCTAACTAAAGTGACAGTAAGATTCTTAGAGACTCCATAATTAAGTAATCAATTTGCATCAGTATAATCGTCAGTTGCTTATAAACATAAACAGCAATTTGTAAAATAACTATTGTAAGATGTCTTTCTCTCAAAAAAAGAAACATATTCTCTTTACCGTGTTTCAAATAAGTCCAATCGAGTTATTAAAGTTTGAAAATTTAAAAAAAAAGATTTATTTTAAAAAAAAATTGAGTCGCCTCAATTTTTCGGTGTTTGCATCTCTTTTCGTGCCGTAATATCAGAGATTAAGAAACTATACCGTGGAAAAATTTGCGGTGAACAGGAAGTTCTAAAAAGTTTTCTAAAATACACAGGAAAATTTCAAAGAAAATGCACGATTTTTAACATCTTTTTTTGCAAAAGAAACCTCAGACTTGTTCTTGAGGTCAAAATATACCACCCCTGAAAATATTTGCACTTATTTAAGACACACCCTGTATAGCAAAAAACTACACGAACAATTTTCCAGCGCATGTAATTATTGGACTACTGCAGGAGGAACACTGCAAAGTTAATACGCATAGCTTACTGTTAAAAAAACATTTTATGTGTAGCCATTTAGCAAAATAAAACACTAAATCACCACAATACACCAAAACATTTTTATTTTTACACTGGACGCGCGTTTCGTTAACCATGTTAGCATCATCAGCAGATGATTATAAACTAACTGTATAGTATGTATGCTGTATATATATACTATGAGTTAGTTTATAATCATCTGCTGATGATTATGATGGTTAGCGAAACGCGCGTCCAGTGTAAAAGTAAAAGTGTTTTGGTGTATTGTGGTGAATTAGTGTTTTATTTTGCTGTGTAACACCAAAGGTTCCAACCCTCAACTGTAATATAGCCATTTAGTGGAAAATAAAGTGCCATGATGTGTATCCTTTGCGACAACGATGTGTGAGAGAATAATTTTCTTGGTAAATTTAAAAAAATACCTTAAAAGTTGGATAATTAACTTTAATCTTAATTTTTTAAAAACCAGTACTTTTTGACCTTACCTCTCTACAGTACTAAGAGCTATTATTATTTATCTATCGTGTGTTAAAGTTTCTCAAAATCGTGACTCAAAATCGTAGCCTATTCCAGATCAAATTACCGTTATCGATAATGGAAATAAAGCAGTAGAACCCTGTAAAATTGATCTCTGTGAAAATTTGATCAAGACAATTTCAATTTTTTTAAAAAACAGAGGCAAAAGAGCTTTTAGCTTTTTTCGCACGAGCGAAAAACATCCTTACTTGTATATTAATAAATAAAATATGTTTCTTCGTTATGGTTATTTTGTTTTTGTGGATTTGGGCCGGTTGATTGTCATTCTCGGGCCGGTTTCCACTTCCCCATCCACCCCTGCTTTTCAGGTAGATCGTGTACTTTTTGGGGAGTAGTTTTAGGGGAACACCGTGCTCGGTCAGCTTTTATTTTCCTTTTACAATTTTTTTGCCTTTCCAATTTTTTTTGCAAGCTCCCTAATTTGCCAGAAATTTGCGATTGATTGAGAAACCTGTCATTTGGATGTTTTTTTTTCAAATATTTTATTTTTATTTTAATTAATAATTTTGTTAATAGAAATGAAATGAGAGAAATAAAGATGGCGAAAATTTATATTTAACATATTAACAGATTTTTACCATGTTCTTGATAAAAATTGAGCTCCGGACTCCAGACACCGATATTAATTTTAATTTATCTTCTATAAAAAGGGCGTTTCCCTTTAAAATTGTCCAGTTTGGCTAATTGGAGCTCAATCTTTGTCAAAAACATGATGGTGAAAACCGCATATCGATATCTGTTACCGTTTACGAGTTACGGAGTGTTTTTCAAAAATGTGCATTTTTAACAAATCGCTGTAACTTTTTTGCTATGGAAAATTTTGTATTTTTATGAAAACATTTCCAAAGCACCTTTTTACGAAGATTTTAATGGTTTAAGCTTATTTTTTTAAATTAATTAGTTAAGAATCATCAACAGAAAATTTGATTTTCTATATGGGAGACCCTGTATAAAATTAATTTATTGAAAATATTTTAAAATTAGCATTCCAAAAATATAGCACACTTGATATTTTGCTCGATTCTTCTTCGAGATATAGAGTTTATAAAAATTTGCTCACTTTAAATAAGTGGGCTTTGAACGGCGCCCGACTGTAATACAAAAAAATTCTAGCTGTGAGCATCAATTAAAATGAAAATATTGAGAGATGCAGAATTTTATAACAATTTAAACTATATTTAACCAACATCAACACATTTAAACTATATCTAATAACAATAAAAACAAAAGCAAACCAAAGACATGAGATTTTGCTACAGGTGTTCGACATATCGATAGTCTTCTGTTTTTGAACATTTGTGGCAGAATTCATTAACTCAGTGGGGGTGAAAGATACCCTCTCATTACTGCTAAGTATTTCTAATTCTTGTTTAGATTTAAAGCCCTAAAAATTTTTTTTGAATATTTAAAAATAAGAACCTTTATTCGTCCGCAAAGATATCCATAGGATTAGATCCATAGGCACTAAGTCCGGCAGCCTCGACGGCCATCAAGCTGGGATCTTGATTACGTATTCAATTATGCTTGAAATTGGAAATCAATTATTCTTGAACTGAAAAAATAACTATATAATAATAACCTACTATCTACTATATAGTTTAACGTGGCGAACTTTTAAAAATTTTGTATTTCGAAGGGAATTTTGGAGAGGTAATTTTAAGTTCTCTTCGGTTAATTAAAAATATACAGGGTGTCCCAAATAAAAATCAATTTTTCTGTTGATAACTCTTACACCCCGTCCATTAATATGGATATTGTAGTAAGTAGTAACTGAGTTATCTAATGGGTGCAATATAGGTACATGGAATACGTATGAAGGAATTATCCACAGCAAAAAAGTTACAGCAATTTGTTAAAAATGCACGTTTTTTAAAAATACCCCGTAACTCCGAAACGGTAACAGATATCGATATGCGGTTTTCACCATCATGTTTTTGATGAAAATTGAGCTCCAGACACCGATATTAGTTTTCGTTTATCTCCTATAGAAAATGGTGTTTTCCTTTAAAAACGTCCAATTTGACCCACACCTACCTATACATAAAACAAACAAAGGGTGATGCATCTCGTCCTGGTGATCGATGTGCGCCAGAGTTTGAAAGGCCTCCACGTAAATTGAGAAGGAAAACGAGCCCAAAAAGACGCAACAGATCAGCATGGTGATGACGTCTATCCGGGTCCAGCCGAAGGTGTTTTTCAATTTGTTTTCCTGTTTCGTCCTGTTCGGATTATGTTTCTTCACTTTGTTGTCTTGACCTGACGGTTTACTGCAGCATTCTTCTTCTTTGATGTTGTCAGTGCTTTCGGCGTCTTTCATTTCGTCAATTGGTTTTACCACTTGGCTGCAATGCTGGAAATGGTTTATTAAAATTATAAAAATTGTAGGTACTTCATACAGTGTGTCTTCGGATTGTCTTTACAAGAGGATTTTTTTTTATTTTTAACTTTCTGAGAATAAATCATTTTTTTTTTGTTTCTTCTAAAATGGTTAATACAGTTTTCAAATTTCCATACCGTGTTAGAAACAAATTTAAAAAAAAAACATGAAAATATGATTGAATTTTTTTAACTTTTAAAAATTCAAAGGATCATGGTGCTCGGTGGCATAGAGGTACAGCTCTCGTCTACCAATTTAAAGGTTCTGGGTTCGAATCCTACAGCCGACATTTCATCAGCCGACTATTTTTAATAAAATAAAAATAGTTTGGGTACCTAGGTCCACTCAGCCTTAAAGGAGTACTTGGGATTCACAATTCTGAGGTAACAATAGGCGGTTGAAGTGTAATGCTAGCCATATTACCTTCCTTGTGTACCGAACGGCTCTAGTATGGCAAGCTGTACCTTGCTACTCCCAAGGCGTTAAACGCTATATACGGGAGCTATTATTATTATATATAAAATTTAAAGACTTACGAGGGTAATATCATTGCGATAGTTATTATTAATTTTGATTAGCGTCATATTTTTTGGTGTTGCTAAAGTATCACAATTTCCGATAACTATTATCGCCCTTTCCGAAGCATTAAATTAAATAGATTATGTGCTTCTTTAACAAAAAGCAAAACTGCAAAAAATATGACGTTGATTAAAATTGTAACGGGATTAACCATTTTAGAACAAGCAAAACATTTTATAAAGAATGTGTTTTTCTCAAAATATCAACAAAAAAATTCTTTTTTTCTCTTGTAAAAACCGCCCGGGGACATTCTGTATATGAACGTAAAAGAATATATGATATAACAGAAGGAGGAAGAAATAAATTACGATTCATATTCTTTGTTGTTATCATATTTCCCAATAACTATTATCTCCCTTTTCGTAGCATTAAACTAAATTAATTTTATGCTTCTTAAAAAAAACAGCAAAACATAATATGATGTTTATTAAAATTCTGCCAATAACAATCTATAAAGCTATGAAAACAAAATTATATTATCATAGAAACGCGTTTTGATTTTAAGACTTCGTTTTTATAGGACGTGGGCAAATTTGCGGCGAACAGGCAGTTCCAAAAAGTTTTCGAAAATATACAGGGAAATTTAAAAGAAAATGCACTATTTTCAACATCTTTTTTTTGTGGAAAAACCTCCTAGACAGTAGTGTACCGTGGGTCGAAATATACCACCCCTGAAAATATTGGCACTTATTTAAGTACTCACCCTGTATAGAAACTCTGGCCAATATATACAAAGAAGCCACAGAAAGAGTAATGATATACATATAATCTATACTAATATATAAAATCCTTAAGTGACTGACATACTGTTTAATCACGATCCTGCTCAAACCACTCAACGTAAGAAGCTCAATTTTGGCATACAAGTTGATTCTAGGGTGTAGAGGTTCCATAAGAAGGGATTCTTCGAAATTCCAGTTCCAAGAGGGTCAAACCACCCCTCAAATATTACAATATTTTTTATTTAACAAACGGTTAAGTTTCCGAAAAAACGCTTAAACACGTATATTTTATTTTGATTTTTTACATATTTTAAGATTTTTTTAAAAATGTATACAGGATGTTTCGAAAAATCTGGTCATTGATTAACCCGATCCTGCTTAAAGTGCTTGACGTCAAAAGCTGATTTTTGGAAAACAGATTGACTTTAGGGTGTAGAGGTTCGATAAGAAGGGATTTTTCAAACTCGAATTCTAAGGGGGTGAAACTATCCCTCAAATATTAAAATATTTTTTATTTAAAAACCGGTGAGTTTTTCGGAAAAACTCTTAAACACGTATATTTTATTTTGTTGTTTTACATATTTTAAGATTTTTTATAAATTTATACAGGGTGTTTCATAAAATATGACCATTGAGTAAT